TGGATTAATGGATGGAATTTTATTCCTAAATTACTTTTGGATGTGTTTGGAATTTCTTTGACATTTGTATGTGTTTGTGGTTATGGAGTAAGTGATCCTAAGCTTAATGCTTGGGGTATTTAGTGGACCTTTCGGGGTATTCAGTGGACCTCTGCGCAGTTGGGTGAGTGCCGTGATTAGCTCCGGTACAAGTGTTGCTAACACACATCAGTGGACTCCATAGCATTGTGTGATTTTCGATTTTATGTATTGTGCTTGTGACATCGTATTTGTGAGCATATGACTTTGTTATATGAATTTGATTTAAATGTCATTGATTATCCCTTGACATGTGTGATTATGATTTGAGATATTATGTTATCATTTAAATACTAAGAATTATAATATTATGTGGTTTGGTTTCGTTGTATTCTATACTCTTTGTGTGTATAGGTCTAAAGGTCTTAAAACCCAAGTTTATAGTTTAAACTTAGGTTTAAGTACCATTTTGATCCCTCAACTTTTCACTTTGATACCAAAATTGTCCCTCAGCTTTAAAAAGCACCAAAATTATCCTCAGACTTTCATTTTCGGTACCAAAATGGTCCTTCCGTCAGTTAAATGACAGGTGGCCCGTTAAAATGCCACAAAATCATTAGACTTTTTGAATCTTAATAACGTGTAAATCCAGTTATGAAAATTTTGCTTCCATGGCATTTTTTTTTTGTACACGTGGCATTTTTTTACACATCATATTATCACATTTTAAACTTTTCCTTTTAATGGGGCCCACATGACTTTTTTTAATTTTTCTTATTCTTTTTCTCTCCTCTCTTCCCCTCTTCTTCTTCCTCTCCAGATCTGGGTTTCGTTTGAAGAAATCCAGAACTTCTTGGAGTACACCAAGGTGACTCCTGCTTCTGTTGCAGAAGAATTGTAGAGGTCAACGACGGCGGAGGTCAACGACGGCGAAGATGACGACAATGAAGACGACAGAGAAGACGACAATGCAGCAGCAAAGAAGAGAAAATAGAAAATAATCTGAAACCACGAAGGACCAAGGTTGCCTTCGGTCGAGCGATCCAGCTAGACACCCTTCTATCTACCCATCTAGAGGTTGCATCTAGACTCAAGGACGTCGAGGCGAGAAACTGTGCAGGCGAAGACCAGATCTGGGAATTCCAGCGTGTAGCTCGGTAGATTTGTGTGAAGGAGCAAGGAGTCGTGAAACCTGCAGGCAAGCGGGCAACACACAGAAATAGGAAACAAAGAAAACAAACATAAAACAACCTCATTGGGTCATCGGAGCAGGGAGCAGGCCGGCTCCATCAGGCTTGAGCGGCCGGAGAACCCGGCGGCTCAAGCAGCAAAACTCGGAAGCCCAAGGCTTCCGAACACAAAAACAACATGCAACATGTTGGAGAAGACGATAAGAAGCTAGAGAACCCAGATCTGGGTTTGATCAAACCCAGATCTGTGAGAGGAAAAAGAAGAGGGGAAGAGAGGAGATAGAGAAAGAATAAGAAAAGTTAAAAAAGTGTCACGTGGGCCCCATTAAAAGGAAAAGTTTAAAAAGGTGATAATATGATGCGTAAAAAAAATGCCACGTGTACAAAAAAATGCCATGGAAGCAAAATTTTTATAACTGGATTTACACGTCATTAAGATTCAAAAAATCTAATGATTTTGTGGCATTTTAACGGGCCACCTGTCATTTAACTGACGAAAGGACCATTTTGGTACCAAAAATGAAAGTTTGAGGATAATTTTGGTGCTTTTTAAAGCTGAGGGACAATTTTGGTACCAAAGTGAAAAGTTGAGGGACCAAAATGGTACTTAAACCTTAAACTTAATACTTATTGAGCTTTTAACTCATAAAATTTTCTCCCATTTCATATTAGTAGATTGGAGTAGTAGCCGCTCGACTTGAGAGCTTTC